ACTCATCTGCCAGACTCGTCGAGCGGATTCTGTTTGCCAGTCCTGTCGTCCTGTTTCCTCCAGCCAGACCTGCTTTGTACATTCCGCCCGGCCCCTATCTCTGGAGCGCGTCGTGGATCCCCTTCTACCCTGGCTCCCGACGCCTACATCTGATCGCCGGAGGACTGCCATATATGTATATAAACCCCCTACACTGTATATAATAAACACTGTTTCTTCCTTTTAAAGATCTGAGTCTGCTTCGTTCTGGTCTTGTACCAATCTGGGTTCTGCTAGTCATTACACTCTGAACTGTTAGAAGGCTGAATTTGAATAGCTGACATTTACTGAAAGCAGAAAAAAAAACCAGTAGAAAGGATCTGTATAAGATGAAATAAGCAGAGAGAGGTTGAATAAATTACATCTAAAATTAGTTAAAAAAAAAAAGAATCTGAAAAAGCATGAACTTAGCAGACAGAGGCTAAAAGGAGATAAAATGTTTAATTTATTCAATAGAATCCCAAAAATGAGGGGAAAAAAGCAAACAAAAGGCTAAAATTAATTAAAAAAACAAACAAACTAAAAAGTAGCTGAAAGGGCAGGAAAAAATTTTAAATTGGCAGAAAAAAGCTGATAAATGAATGAAAAGATTAAATTAACCGAAAAATGCTGAAATGAGCAGTACAAGGATGTAAACAGCTCAAAAGGGTTTGAAGTGAGCTCCATTCATTTTCTATTAGGAAAAACATGACAGACAAAGCTAAATACTACAACAAGTGAAAGTTGCACAAATACCAGAAGTCACAGCAGGAATGTCCTGAAGGAGCTGAACAGTTTGATGCATGAATTACTGGAATAGAACAAAATATGTGGAATGGATTATGTTCAGAAAAACTTGCAGAAGAAAAGTGAATCTCTATAGAGAGAATGATTTAGAAACATTCCCACTATTGGCATTTTCTGTGAAAATCCCAGTAAGAATGCTGGTGGCTGAACATGTCTGCTGAAATTTCACGAAACTAAACTGATGAAGTTAAAATGATCTGAACAAAAGCTATAAAGCTTAAAAATTCTAAATTTTTGCTTTAGGTCAAAATTAGCTCAATGGTTGGTAAAAGCTAAAAATAACAACCAATATTTAAAAAGAATGAAGGGACCCCCTCCATTTGTGACCTGACCTACATCCATCTTTCCAGCAGAAAGTAGAAAGTTCATACTTCTTTCTAAGATTCATAAAACTAGACTTCTCCATAGTTAATAAGAAGTGAAGAAGTCTGTTCTTGCTGATGCAGTCGTGAGACGTTCTTTTTGGCATTGATGTTTTAGACTCCATAAGAAATCCCATATCAGAACTCCTGGGAAACACTTACCCTCAGGGTCTCAACTCCATTCTCTCTACAGATGTTTGCTTCTCTTATCATCAGCAGACATTTATTTTAATACAGACTGACAGACAATATGTTGTTTGGCATTCACAAATTTGTCACGAAAAGATCCCCATCTTTTCAGCTGGTGAGGGAACGTGTCTCTACGTTGTCCGGCTGAGGTGCACTCCCTCCTGGACTGCACAGCCACAAAGAGCTGCCTGTGTCTCACCTCTGTCCCCTTCGTGCCCTAAAGTTGTCCAATCTCCTTCCACAAGTTCTTGGATAGAATAGTAAAGATAGTTGTATTTTCTAACAGCCTTGGTCAGCTGCTGAAGATTACCTGCTTTTCCACATGAACACGCCCATAAAGTTCTGACCAGTAACACAATACGTGCATATCTAAGTGAGAAAAAGGTTCTGTGTGGACCTTGTGCACTGGCTCTCAGGAGCTCATGAGAGAACAAAATGACGTAATTGTCATGCAGCCACGTCAGTGAGAACATATTTTTTAACTTCTTGTGGAGTATACTGCTGAACAGCTGGGATCCAACATCAGACAGGAATGGGATAAGATCATTCTCCAAAAATGTAATCGGATCTCCTCAGTTCCTGGACATTTAGAGATCATTTATGAAGAAGAGGACATGTCTCACATGGCTTCCTCTCAAAGATTGAGATGTGTTACTGACCTATGAACCAATATTACTTACATGTGGTACTATTCCGTCCATTCATTCATTCATTCATTCATTCATTCATTCATTCATTCATTCATTCATTCATTCATTCATTCATTCATTCATTCATCTATTCATCCATAACAATACAATACAATTTGTCTGTCTGGTCATGGAGCTACTCTTTCTTAGTTTCAGCATTTGTTCTGATTGCTATGCTCCATTGTAAATCAAATATGGGTTTGTGAGAAATTATTGCCTTCTGTCGTTTTTTACTTTTTACACAATGTTCAGACTTTTTATGAAATTAATGTTGTATGTACTATCACATGTCATCTGGACAAGTTTCTTTAAGGGAGAAACATTTTGTCTTTCATCCAAAAGACTTCATCAGTCTGCGGCAAGCCAACCCAGATGTGTTCCTTAAACAGCCCTCACTGATGTGTTTCATGCCAACCTGTTGAATTCCCAGAAACCAGCTTCTAACACTAACAAAAAAGGGACCGCCCTTTGTATGTACTAGATCACAGATTTGTGTTGATTGCTGAAGTTTGTTATTATAGTTTACAATATTCATGAAACAATAAACAACAACAACCAACTGACAAGTTTTGATTATTGAAAGTTTTCTGATTTGATTGGCCACGGCCCACATGCTCTACGGTGCATTGCTGTGCTGTAACGCTCATCTCTTTCCAGTGTTGTCTTGATTAAGTCACTGGTTTCATTTGGGTCTGATGACAGCCTGCAGTCGTTAGGTATGTGAAAAGTACGTCAGTAAAATTTTCTCTGGGAAAATTTGTTGTCGTCTTCTGAGCTGCATTTGATTTTTAATTGTCATCATCCACGGAAAGAAAAACACATTTGAAAATAATTCAGATGTTGAGACGTATAGCTGCACGAAAATTCTCTGAACACCCTGGAGAACCGTTGACGTCCTCTTGCTGTGACAGTATAACACACTGTGGCCATTTGGCTGCAGAAACTAATAACCATTCATTCATTCATCACTAACTACAGAGACTCTTTGTGCTCTGAGTTGTTAACAAATCAGATAAATTCTCACTTGTGAGTACTTATATAATAATAATTCAGTGAGCCGGCAAACGTCTGATCTACACAGATGAGTAAACAACTGAACAGAAGCAAGGTGGAACTGAACCAGTCCGTGAGGACGGAGTTGTTTGTGTTTCTCAGAGTGCATCATAAAACACAATAAAAGGGACTGGTATTATCTCTGCTCTCATTATCTCCACACAAATGTTAAAACAAGCTTTCTTTTACCTTATCTCACCTCGTTGTTATTGTCACTACTAAAGGAGAAAGAGTAGTAGTGTTTTGGCTATGTGAGTGTGTTTGGTTGAGTGTTAGCAAAATATCCCATGAACCACTGGATGGCTTTCATTGAAACGCTCAGCAAGTAATGACCGCTTGTTCTACAACTGATTAACTTCTAAAGTCAGTCCTATTTAAAACGGCCACCACAGCTAACTGACTTTAAACCAACACAAAAACGGCTACAACTCAGTTTTACAGATATTGAGCTGAATTTGGGGTGGTAGTAGCTAAAAGTCATCTCAACGCAATCTTTAAGATTTGACAGTCTCTTGGGAGTAATCGTTATTTTCATGGTTTGGTCAAATCACGTATAAATCTGTTCCCACTCAGCATAATTATTTTACAGCAAAATGCACCTATCCATTATCACTATCCATCCAATGATCTTTATATTCCTTTATTTCTGCAGGTCCAAGGGTTAAATGCGGAAGGTGGGCTGCATGTAGTTTGGCAGTAAAGCTGAGCCCACCTGTCACCATTGTTTCCACTTTATGATATTTTCAAAATAAACTACAATGGCAGAAAGGGACAGTGGGACAGGTTTTTATTATAAGCCTGTCAAAAGGCTGTACTCTGGTAAAGTCTCTTTATAAAGAATGAAGGGACCCCCCCTCCATTTGTGACTTCTGACCTACATCCATCTTTCCAGCAGAAAGTAGAAAGTTCATACTTCTTTCTAAGATTCATAAAACTAGACTTCTCCATAGTTAATAAGAAGTGAAGAAGTCTGTTCTTGCTGATGCAGCCGTGAGACGTTCTTTTTGGCATTGATGTTTTAGACTCCATAAGAAATCCCATGGTAAAGTGGGAGTTTATGGTAAAGTTTATGGTAAAGTCTATAAACTTTCTCTTGTTCCGCCTATAACTTCTGATCCGCTCAAGATTATTGAACTCAACTTCATACACACAGATCATCACTAGACAGAGTATCACATGCACTTTCAATCTCCCCAGATTCAAGGTCAAGGTCACAAGTCAAGGTTAGTGTTAAAACAAGGTCTTTACCTGTCCAAGACATCACTATAGATTGTTGTATAATAGTTAGCTGATGGGTGTATAATGTGCCATATGCTGTACTCTTGTTATTTGGGGAAGGAGAGAGGTGGAGGATGTTAGGTGTTAATAAATAAAGGTTGAATGAATTAAATAAAAGCATGGTGACTGGAAAAGCACCGTTAGGAAACAACTTGGTGTGTCACTACCAGGGGCCAATGGAAAAACGACCAAAAACTGATTGTGACGGTCACATTAGTGCTTCAGATTCACCCATTTGAACTAGACTCTGAATATTAGAAATATTTCTGCCCATTACTACTTGATATAACCTCTATGAAAACTGTAGATTGTAAACTAACCACTTATTATTTCTTGTCATGCTATTATTCCTTACAATCTGATATTAATCTCATACTTGTCACTCTTTCTCCACTCCTCCCCTCACCAGTAAAGAAAAGGAGCGAAGCCTGTGTGTCCCAGACTTCCCAGAGCCGTCAGACGTCTACTGGCAGTACATTGATCTCCTGACCTTCATCCTGCTGTACGTGCTGCCGCTCGTCATCATCACCGCCTCCTACACTACAGTGGCCCGCCGGCTGTGGCGCCATAACGCCATCGGTGACACGACGACCGCCCAGCACGCCACTCAGAGGAGGAAGCGCCGCAGAACGTTGGCCATGCTGCTCCTGGTGGTGGGAGTGTTCGCCGTCTGTTGGTTCCCCCTCAACTGCTACGTGGTGCTGCTCTCGAGCCAGACCATCCACTCCTCCAACGCTCTGTACTTCTGCTTTCACTGGCTGGCCATGAGCTCCACCTGCTACAACCCGTTCATCTACTGCTGCCTGAACCCCACCTTCCGCCAGGAGCTGCGGCTCCTCTTCGACAGGTGCCGGTGGAGGCGGAGAGTGGCGGTTGGCCTGGAGCCGGAGCATCGCCCCGCGGTCGCCTGCGCTCCCTGCCACCGAGCCGCCTGGCCAGACAACCGCGAGTCCTCGAGGCCGAGCCACGCTCTGTCCCACCTGGGCCAGGGTTCTTTGCAGCAGAGCCACGCGTCGTCAAGCCACTCCCACAACCTGAAGGACGCGCACGTGCTGTTCATGGCCAGGCAGGCCCTCACAGGGAGAACAGACATCCTGTCAGTGGAGCCCATCGTGGCTGAGAGATAACCAGACGCAGCTGCTTCAGTTTCCCCTGGAAATTAAAGACCACATTTATAAAAGGAGCAGGCGTGGCTGAACCGGTGCAGGATTTTGACGGCAGCCGGTTGAAAGTGAAAACTTTCCTGAGCACGTTGAAATGGTGGTTCTGCTTCTCTATTAGAGGTTCAACAGCCTCACTGCCATTTAGGAGCCTTTTTCACTTCTGATGTCTTTGGTGATGCATTACATCTCCTGAAAACGTTCTCTGCTTTAAATGACGGTGAAATTATTCTCTCCACGAGGTCCGCTCAGCAGGACTTCCATTTAAAGCTTTATTGTTTCTGACTTTGTCCTGTTGCTGCTGTTTGAACTCCTTTTAGTTCTCTGTGCATCTAAATGCAAAACAGAGTCCTGAAACACATTTTTAATTATCATATTTATAAAAAGTTCTCCTGTAATTAGAGTCAATGATACAATGAATAATGATATGGATATGCCCTTGTAAATGCATTTTTATTTTTTATTTTTGTAAAGGCTTTCTTTCCAACAGGGTACACAAAAAATTCACAGCCGGAAAGCTGTCAAGACTTTTCATTATACAAGAAAAATATATTTTTTTTAGGTTTTACCAGAATTCACACAGTTTTTCTTCTTACAGCTTTTATTATGCAGCCGACAAAAAAAAAAAAAAAAAAAAAAGAACAAAATAATTAGAGCACATATGAACCTGCTGAAGATGAAATCTTTATATTTATTTAATCCATCCATTCTGCTGACTGTCCACGGTTCTTATTAACCAGGAGGCTTTGGGAGCATATGCAGTGAAATAACAATTTTAAGTAATTTTCAGTGTACAATCAACTCTTTCACCTTGGAGGCTCTTAATGGATTTTTTGGGGGGCTTGTTTAGGATAATCAACAGTCTTGTTGAAACCTTTGGAGCAAACCAGGCCTCTCGGTTACACTGCGACCACTTGGATCTTTACAGACTGAATGTATTCGTCACCAAATTGCTCTTGTTTCTGGCTCTGCTTTAAACAACGATCGACAATGAAACATGCATGTAGCTGCTGTGACTTCACCCCTTGGTGTGAGGACTAATGATGGTGAGGCCTTGGCTTTGCATCATCATTTTGTTTGAACTGTTCTCCTGCTGCCATGAAAGGTGAGTGATTGTGTAACTGTCCATGTGTGCGTGCTCATTAGTTCGCCTAATGAATAATTAATGAAACTCAAAGTAATCACCTGATGTCCAACCTTTTGGCCACCATCAAGATGGCTACCACAGCTAACTGACCATATGACAATAATTTAGTCAAATTTACAGATTTAGAACAGTTTTCTAATGTGGTAGTAGTTGACAGTCGTCTTGAACACATTCTATGAGCACCAACTGATTGAGCAATGTCTGTGTTTAATATTTTACCATTGACTGTCTTAAAGCAAAATATCTCATGAACCAATGAACAGATTTGAATGAAACTTCCAGGAAAAGCTTGTTAGGCGTTGATCTTTAGGTTAGTAATATTAGGAGTCAGTCATTTCCAAGATGGCTGCCACACACGTACCGAAAAGTCAGTTGATTTTTACAGATGTTGAGCTAAAAATTATTGTGGTAGTATCTGAGAGTCATCTAAATCAGACTCTGAGCTCTAAGAGACGAATAGTACTTGCTTAAAACTTTTTCATGCAAACCAGCAGGTGAAATGCACACCAAATGCTACTTTTTATTTAGTTTATTTTACCCTAGATGAGATATTTATTTCCATGTTTCCGACTGTGCAGGAAGTTGGCATTTTTTATTATCAATGTACTAAATATAACCATGAGTTTATTTGAACAAGCCACAACAGGACGATGACTGCTGGAAGTAGGTTCAACCGGTTCAATAACTGAGATCACAATATATCAGTTTCTGCACTCATTATTATACGTCTGTCAAAAGATGGATATACAGGTGCGGGTCATAAAATTAGAATATCATGAAAAAGCTGATTTATTTCAGTAATTCCATTCATAAAGTGAAACTTGTATATTCATTACACACAGACTGACATATTTCAAATGTTTATTTATTTTAATGTTGATTAAAACTGACAACTAATAAAAATCCAAAATTCAGTATCTTAGAAATTTTGAATATTACTTAAAACCAATAATAAAAAAGGATTTTTAGAAATGTTGACCAACTGAAAAGTATGAACATGAAAAGTATGAGCATGTACAGCACTCAGTACTTAGTTGGGGCTCCTTTTGGCTGGATTACTGCAGTAATGCGATGTGGCATGGAGTCGATCAGTCTGTGTCACTGCTCAGGTGTTATGAGAGCCCAGGTTGCTCTGATATACAGGTCCTTCTCAAAAAAATAGCATATTGTGATAAAGGTCATTTTCCATAATGTAATGATAAAAATGAAACTTTAATATATTTCAGATTCATTGCACACCAACTGAAATATTTCAGGTTTTTAATTGTTTTTAATTGTTTTAATACTGATGATTATGGCATACAGCTCATGAAAACCCAAAATGCCTGTCCCATGGATTCTGCACCTCTCTTCTCTTCCTCCAGACTCTTAGACCCTGATTTCCAAAGGAAATGCAACATTTACTTTCATCAGAGAACATAACTTTGGACCACTCAGCAGCAGTCCAGCCCTTTTTGTCTTTAACCCAGGCGAGATGGTTCAGATGCTGTCTCTTGTTCAAGAGCGGCTTGACACAAGGACTGTGACAGCTGAAACCCATGTCTTGCATACGTCTGTGCATGGTGGTTCTTGAAGCACTGACTCCAGCTGCACAATCTTTGTGAATCTCCCTCACATTTTGAAATAGGTTTTTGTTTCACCATCCTCTCCAGGGTGCAGTTATCTCTATTGCTTGTACACTTTTTATCTACAACATCTTTTCCTTCCCTTCACCTCTCTATTAACGTACTTGGACACAAAGCTCTGTGAACAGCCAGCCTCTTTAGCAATGACCTTTTGTGTCTTGCCCTCCTTGTGCAAGATGTCAATGGTTGTCTTTTGGACAACTGTCAAGTCAGCAGTCTTCCCCATGATTTTGTAGCCTACAGAACTGGACTGAGAGACCATTTAAAGGCCTTTGCAGGTGTTTTGAGTTAATCAGCTGATTAGAGTGTGGCACCAGGTGTCTTCAATACTGAAAACTCAAAACTGTGTACAAAGTTCCTAAATCAGAGCCCAGTTTTAACGTCCAGTACCTGGTCTCCATGTCGAAAATAACCGAAGATGTAACAAAAATGGATTTTATTGTTAAAATTTGGTCAACCCATTTAAATCTGCTTAGAGTCGATGTGAGGTTATGTACTAATGGTACCATACCAGTACTTAAAAATTCAGTGAGAACGTCATAATGGTATGGGGATCCAAAGTGTAGCCGTTGAGGCAGAGACTTGGAGGTAAAAACTTTATGAAAGTATTTAAAAAGGCTGACGAGGCAGCATAACATAGAAAAATACCAAAAGTAGGGCAGTGAAATTGTAATTTGACAAGATGGATTAAAGAAGTTGTGTTTATGCTGGAAGGAGTGATTGTTGAGTGATTACAGCTGCGCTGATTAGCAAATGAGGAGCAGTGATGAATGAGTCTGAGCCAGCGACTGCTGAAGAACTGCGAAATACATGAATGGAAACTTAATGACAAGAATGGAAAAAATAAGATGGAATAAAACAAACACAGAATATAAAGATAAACAAGAAAAACGACAAACCTGACTTCTGATAAGGAACAAATAAATGTATTAAGTCTGAACTCTTGTTGCAATGTCACATACTTTTATATTATTATATCTGACGAGCAAAGACAACATTGAGGTTTAGGTATTTAAACACTTTATGTCCAAAGGATATGTTTACCGCGGCTCACAGGGTCAAAAGTTATAAATACATATTTTTTTTAATTTAGTTTTATTGTAGCGATGCTGAATCCCATCCTTATAAAAGCACATAAACCAGGGTGAAACACTGAAAACATATCACCGTTAGTCAAACGCCTTGTATGCCTGAACATATACATGTGGCTCTGCTCAAAGAGAAAATCTGTAAATAATGTTCATGTTTTTTAATCCTGTGACCTAGAAAATAATTTTTATTTGTTTGCTTCTTTATAAAAAGAAAGATCTGAGTTATCTTGATCAAATAAAACCGTTGCTGCTTCATGTTGTTGTTTTTATAAAGATTTGTTGGAGAATGCCCAGCGTCTGAATGTGATCTTATCTTAAGATTCTCATTGTTGTTTGTTTTTAGGAGATAATACAGATTGTTTTTCATTATTTTACCTTCATAAATCATTTAGTTTGATACAAGAGAAATGACTCATTTCAGGATGTGCAGACAGCCAGACTTTATTGTTTCTTAACTTCTCTTAAGGCAGATGAAACAGGCACAGCATTATTAAAATATGAAAATATGCCCGCTTTATGCCTCATGGACATGTAGAAACCAAGGACCTGAGCTTCACAAGAAGAGTGTAATTTTAGGAGTTTTTACATTAGAATTTGGCACATAAAAAACAATTTAAATATATATTTTATTTTTTTAATCAAAAGTCTTTAACGTTTTGTTTTTCCAGTTTCTTTTTGTAAAAATGATTTTTCAGCACATCTCCGTGTATAAAATGTTTGCGGTGTGTTGACTTGTTTTATTTCTGTATGACCTCAGTGCTTTAACGCAGATTTCTTACTGGGATTATCATTGTTTGTATATGAAAACAGTTCTGGATTTTTCAGTTTAATGTTCTGCCTGCACGCTTGTGTAGTCTAAAATAACACACAGTCTTAAAAATAACTAAACAATTTGATTCGTGTTATTTATCAGAACAATTGTTTTGATTTTAAAGTATTTTCTGCTGGTGTATTGTCTTACTGTCTCGTGTTGGTTTCCTCTTTTTACACTGAAATACCTTTTTGACCAAATTTAATAAAAAATAAATATGTAGCTTCAAAGCTTAAAAAAAGTGTCAGTTGTGTCATACTTTTTAGATTAATCCAAAGAATCTAGAAGTCTGG